CAAACGAGGCCTAAGTGGCCATATTTTTCATCAATCACAATTTATTATATCTTTTTATGTTTTTCAATTACGCAACATAAATTCGTGATTCTCATTCTCTTCACTAATCACAACATATTAAAACATGATGTAACGATAACCCAAAACTAACCGATAACTACTCGTCAATTAAAAATATTATTGTTGATAACAAGTCAACCAAATTACACTCTGAAATTTCAAATACAATTCTTTTATATAAAATAAATAATAAAAAAAAAATCCAAACAAATGTCATCCCACATGTCATTACACATGCCCTATTTGGAAGAAAGTTAAAAATGAAAGGTTAGTTTTTAACTCATTTTGGTCACATCACCTCTCACATTTTTTTTACATATTTTTTTCAAAAAAATAAAAAATCAAAAATCAAAAAATCAACTTTTAACCAATTTCTCAAAACATCCCATAGTTACAACCAAAAATATTTGGTGTTCTTGGGGCACCACATAGTTTTGCTCCTCATTACTCACAATTCACCATATCCAACGTAAAATCGTGAACCAAACCTCCTTCACCATTCACAACCTCGTTTGGCATGAAGAAGTTTGGGACTTTATGGTTAAAATAGCAACAAAAGACAAAATAGGCTAAAAAGTCAATAAAACAAAATGTCACATTCAAACCATAATTATTTCATTTTTTTTCTCACAAAATTCAAAAAGGCCAAAAAGCCTACTCCAAACGAGTTTTTTTAACCCCAAGATAAAAGAAAAAAGAGAAGGGTTTCATTTTGTTGGGCGGGAGTTCAAAGGAATGGAGGGGTCAAAGTAAAGAGTTAGGTGTAATAGAATTGATTTTTTAATTTTTTTATGAAAAATTGCATAGAAAGATAAGCAAAGTAATGTGATAATTTGGAATTAATTTTTGACTTATATGTTAAAATAGCCTATCCAAACAGGGTTGGGTTTGACACCTAGAGAAATATACCAAACAAGATATATATATATATATATATATAAAAGTATATTTTCTAAATTTGATAATGCGGATGTAAGATGATTGATTAATGATTATATATATAGAAAAAAAAAATATATTTTCAATACTCTAACAAATTATCACAACATTAAGGCTTAATTTGGGAACTTAACTAAAAGTCAAAAGTCAGCTTGTAACCTATTTTAGGTCACATCACTACCTTTCTTTTTTATATATTTTTTTAAAAAAATCAAAAAGAATAAAAAATGTTTTTAACCAACTTTTCAAAATAACCCTAAGTCTGAAAAATATATTAAAATTTTACATTAAAATAACATAATTTTTTTTATTAATAATATTCAAATATACAAGACACTTGTATACTACAATAATACATTGACTTGTTTTGAATATGACCTTTTTTTGAATTTTATTTATTTATTATTATGAAAAATTCTATAAAAAATAGAGAAGCGTTGTGATCCAAACAAGTTAATAAGCCAATAAATTACTTATTTTATGCATACCAAAAACAGAGAATTTATTAGTTGGTCTTGAAATATCGCATTGTGATGCCTTAATGGTATTGTAATTGGTAAAGAAAGATAAGACTCATAAATTTATATTAAATGATTAAAAAATATGAAAAAATATAATGAATTATAATTTATGAGAGAAATAATTAAGTGACGCCCTAAACCAACCAATAATTTTTTCTACAAACAACCCATTCTCTAATACACAGTAGTAACGTTCATATTCAGGATTGCGCGTGTGTTTGGGATGGGCTCATCAGGCTATATGAGCCACATGCGACAAAACAGACTCATTTAGCCACATGAGGCCAAAAACACTTGCTAGGGTTGGAGAAGAACCCTTCTACAGGTAAATTGACCAAATTACCCTCACATCTCCTTTCCTTTGTTCATTTCGTCCAACGCCTCACCACATACACACAACACAACCCAACGGTCCTGGGGCACGGAAGAAGCGAACGAGGCGATCTCTCCCAACTAGCGGCGACGACATCAAAATACGGCTTCGCAGAGGCGATCGGCACCAGAGTAGGCTTCTGGCGGCGGAGAACAAGACTGAACCCTATCCGATACACAACCGATTAAGTGGTAACTCTTCCAAACCCATTCTGGTTTCGTAGATCTTAATCCCCAATGCTTTATGAATGGAATGATTTTATTTTTTTCTACTTTTTTTCTTCCGCCACTTCAGATCGCACTGTATTTTGGGCTGTATTGATGGTATTTCGTTGTAGAAAGTCCGATACGTCCAACGCCTCACCACACACACACAACACAACCCAACGGTCCTAGGGCACGGAAGAAGCGAACGAGGCGATCTCTCCCAACCAGCGGCGACGACATCAAAATACGGCTTCGCAGAGGCGATTGGCACCGGAGTAGGCTTTTGGTGGCGGAGAACAAGACCGAACCCTGTCCGATACACCACCGATTAAGTGGTAACTCTTCCAAACCCATTCTGATTTCGTAGATCTTAATGCCCAATGCTTTATGAATGGAATGATTTTATTTTTTTCTACTTTTTTCCTTCCGCCACTTCAGATCGCACTGTATTTTGGGTTGTATTGATGGTATTTCGTTGTAGAAAGTCCAATCTGGTTATATTCACATTTTTTTCTTGTTAATTTTTAAGCCACAGTTCGAAATTTGTTGTTTCAGTTGTTATGAGACTCCAAATTTGGGCAAAACAAACCCATATATAGAATATCCCTCAAACATGGTTGATTCTTCCATTTTTTTCCTCCCCCAAAATAAGTTCTTCATTTATAAATATTATAAAATTATGTTTACATTTTCACCAAGTAAATAAATACTTACAATTTAATACTTTTCTGATAAGTACAAAAATTAATTAACGAACAAAAAAAAATTAAAATTAATATACATTTTTCTGTAAATTAACAAAAAAATTTAATGAATAAATATTAACAAAAAAATTTACATTTTTTTGTTACATATTATCTTCGTATAAATAAATATTTGTTCTTTATTAATTAACATTTTTCTGTAAGTAAATATATTTTTTTTCAGATTCTGTTCTTAATGAATAAATATTCACATTGTAATTTACATTTTTTTAATTATATTCAGATACAGTAATAAATTTGTTAATATTTTTAAAAAATATTAAATATACTCATTCATAAATTTTTATACGAAGATAATGTTTACCAATAATGTTCAGACAAAATTACACAATAAAATTAGTACTTCAGTTATTCAAGTTTACTCCCCAAGTGAATATGTTTCTCATTTTATTATTAATTCTGAATGAGCACTGTGAATGCACTTACGGTATTGTCAATGCATTTTTTATTATGGTAAAACACTCTGATTCTTGTCAACGCACTTGTGATTATGGTAAAACACTGTGATGAAACACTTTGATTCTTGTCAATGCATTTCGAATGTTGCGAATTCAGTACCTGAATGAATTCTGAGTTATCAAATTAATGTATACATAAATTCAGCAGCTAGTCTCTACCCAGTTGCTATTGGTATTGTGAATGACCACTGCGAATGCATGTCTGATTCTGTGAAATACCTATTGACTTGTAATGAAATCACGAGTTCAGGTTACGAAATATTTTTACCAAACAAGTATGTCCATTTTTCATGTGCATGTCAATTGTGTTATACTTTCATCTCCAATGTTAAAAATAAGTACAATCTTGCATGTTATATATATTTTTTTAGTATTGTCAAAGACTTGAGTCAAACAAGTGAAAATAATTTTACATATTTTACTAGTCTAGTAATAATAATGTGCATAATTACAATAAAATATGTATGTGGTTACAACATAACTCTGTGCAAGTGCACATGGGTCGGTAACTACTCTTACCAATGTACTACTGATTGAAGATGCACAATACCCTTATCATACTTAAGTGTCCATGATCGGAATCAAAAACTTTTATTTTGTATCTCTGTGTACGTTTTGTTGTTCATTCATGTACATTTAAAAAAAAAAATGCCTATTGTTTGTAAAGCGTAGCATGGCTTCGTTTACCTCTACTGCAACTTCCAGTACATGGCCATGAATGTGTGCCTGTGGACGTGGCCCCTGTGTTGTTAAGATTTCCAGGTCCACCAAAAATCCAGGGCATCCCTACTTTGCATGTCCCCGCCCTTTGGTGAGTGACCCATTCTTTTAGGTCATAACTGTCCTTCTTTAACAACCCATGAAACTAATAGTTCCATAATTTGCACTCATCAGCCCTGTGTCAGTTGGATTGGTTGGTGCGATGAACCCAGGCGAGATAACCAAGACTATGCGTCACCCAGGGATGAATTTGTCATGCAATTGCGGGCTAATGTCATAGACATTTAACAATCCTTGCGTGTCCTTAAGACCATCGTGTATGTGCTATGCATTGTCATTGTCGTTTTGTTGTTCCGTATGTAAGCAACGTTACGATGTTTCAGTATGTACAAACACGTTACTATGTTGGTAGTTTATTGGTAGTATGTAAAATAGTATGTACAAACACGTTACTATGTTGGTAGTTTCGAAATGGTAGACGTATTAGTGACTATCATAACTATGTGCAATACTAACTTCTATGGAACCTGTGGTAGTATAAAATTAATGTGCAATGGTTATATACTGGGTAATTTAGCATCCTATCTCTCTGCTTCTTTCTTATTAATGTGTAATGGCTTATGAGTTTGTATATAACAACCGTTTGTGTGATGGTAATCTTTTGTAACCGAACATTAGTAATGGCTTCCATACGTACTTCTCCGCGTACCCAATCCAAAAGCAAAGGCGTTGTCACTGACAAGTCAAGCAGTCTTGAAGATACACACAATCATTTAAGCCACAAGGCCACATGGGACAGTGCCTCAATCTGAGTTTTCCTGCAGTTGATTGCGAATGAGATAACTAAAGGCAATCGCCCATTCCTAGTCCTCAGCCAAGTAGGGTACAAGTCCTTGGCAAGAAAATTTGAGAGAAAAACAGGAAGAAAACATGGACTCAAACAGTTGAAGAATAAGTACATGCGTCTGAAAAAAGAGTGGCAAGCGTGGATAAAGTTGATGGATTCAAGCAAAGGAGTGTCAGGGATAGGGTTTGACTGTGACACCGGTATGTTTCAGGCACCTGAGGAGTGGTGGGACAAAATGGAATCGGTAAGTACATGTACTCTTATATTTCATATGTGTCATTTACCAGTATATTTTTAACTTTTGTAGTTAAATTTTAATTAATTATATGGAATGTAACATGATTCTCTTTCATATATCTCTATTTGAACAGATAAACAAGGTGTGTGCCAAGTTTAGAAAAAAAACCTTGGAACATCGTGAGTTGATGGAGACCGTCTTCATGGGGGCATCAGCTACTGGGAAGCACCATTGGACCTCGGGCCAGGAACTTCCTGAAGCTGCTGATGACTCATCTGATTCAGTGCACAGTTTGGGGGCCCAGCCATTTGCTGATCCGATACCCGCAGGAGTACATGAGGTGGATTCAGATTCTTCACTGGAGCATGTTCCAATTGAAAAGGGGAAAAAGAGAAAGATGCCATCAAGCAGTGTTTCAAAGTCCAAGAAGGCAACAAGTGGAGCGTCAGTTATTGCGGAAAGCATGAACACTCTGACAGATGTGGTGCGTATGAAGAATCAGCACATTACGATGAGGCACCTCACAGGCAACGAATCGTTGTTTACTATTTTGGAGTGCATGCATTGCCTGACAGGTATTACATCGCTGGTTGGTACGTCGTTATTCCACTTCGCCACATCACTTATGGATAACGCCGATTTGCGGGAGGTGATGATGTGCCAGCCTGATGACGACTCGATCATAGGGTGGCTTACCTAGAAGCAGCTCCAGTGTACTGCATCGGCGCCTTTTGCAAATCTGTTCGGGGCTCGCCAGATGTGATATAGCGGTGTTACGAGTGTTGAATATGCCTTTCCTTCTCTTGCATTCTAAAAACTTTTACTTATGTTTTTTGTTGGCACTGTATTAAAACAGGATGGTTGTCTGTGCATATTTTTTTTTTCCTTCGTTTTTGTGTTTTCTTGCTAACTATGGTTTCCAAAACTTTTAGTTCAGTGCATGGGTTGACACAATGGAAGCATTGTTGTGCACACTTTCTGAGACATGAATGAGATGCTTCTGTTCAAATTAAATGTATGCATATTTTGTAGAATTGGGTACAACGGATTTGCTTGCTAGCTTTGTGTATGTCTATATTTTCCAAAGTGCGATGTTAGTTTCATATTAGACGTCAACTTTTGTGGTTGTCACCACAAAGGTCCCCCTGTATGACAAAAGTATAGCAGGTTCAAGTTTTTCCCATTTTGCATATCATTATGCGTTAAAAAATACATTGGTGACGGCAGTCCTTAAATTGGGTTGTCAACATTTCGAATTTTGTAATTGCAAATTTTGAAATTAATTGACTCGATGAAGGGGAAGCAAACTGTTTGAAACAGTGCCACTCTTGTAGGTTTCGCATCAACGAAGACGTAATGAATCCCTGGGATGGAAGCTACAATGACGGAATAACGGAAATGCTTAATCAAATGGCAGTCCAGGTGCAACAAGAACAAAACTGTACATTTCTACAAGCATGCCAGTATGCGACAGAGTGGTACCAAAAATACATGGCTAAAATTCCATGTCGCACTTCTATATTGACCGGGAATGCATGGATATCCGAACTACATGCTGGCCATATGGGCCGATTTGAGGAAAACGCGTCCATGCCGAAGGAAGTTTTTCTCGCCCTATGTGAAACATTAGTAAATGATTTTGGGTTACAAGTCCCTCAACGTCCACATGGTTTACCTGTTGAAGAAAGCGTTGCAATGTTTATCCATGTGTTGAAAGGGAAGCAAAATCGAGAAATCCAAGAACGGTTCCAACATTCGAGGGAGACTGTGTCTCGGTACGTGCATAACGTATTAACTTCCATGAAGCAGTTCACTGTTGTTCATTGCCGGCCCACATATAATCAGCATCGTATACATCCATACGTGCGGTCTAGACAGAAATACCTACCGTTCAAGATACTACCGAAATACATTATTCACATATACATAAAGAGTGTCTGTTATTTTGTTTTTATTACTAACTGGACGTGACGTATGGAAAAAACAAAACATTGTATATATTTTTAAGCAACAAAAGAATTGGGTTGTTTGCAGGACTGCATTGGTGCAATAGACGGAACACATGTAAGTGCATGGGTTACGGGGCCAGATGCAACAACATATTTCGGTAGGAAATACTGTCACACGCAAAATATCATGGCCGCAGTCGATTTTGACATGTGTTTCATATTCATTTCGTGCGGATGGGAAGGAAGTATGCATGATAGTCGCATATTCAACGAGATACTAACTAATGACAATGTCCCATTCCTACATCCTGACGAAGGTAACGCATGCCGATGTTTGTGGATTTAGGGGGTTCTCTGTACAAATTTTAGATGTCATACATTGTTGTCATGTCTGCAGGCAAATATTATCTTGTCGATTCTGGTTATCCAAACCGGACAGGGTACTTAGCACCATTCAAAGGCCACCGTTACCACCAACAAGAATTTCGACGTATTGCACGGAACAGGACGACAAGCACGCCAAGGGAATTATTTAACAAAGTGCAGTCGTCCTTACGCAGTGTGGTGGAACGCACCTTCGGTGCCTGGAAAAATCGATGGGGGCTTATTCGAGACATGCCTCGGTAGGACTTTGCAAATGTGCAGGTTCAGTTAGTAGGTGCGTCAATGGCATTACATAATTATATACGGCGCAACACAGGTAACCCAACAACTGTTCACCCAATCTGTGACGAGGAAGAGGCTATGACAATAGTAAATGCCATACCAAAAGTTGAACATGACGACGATGGTTTAATGGTTGGGGATGAGGACCCACATATGGCATTGGTGCGCTTTCACATACGCGACAAATTATGTTACATGCGTAATAACGGAATTACTAATGACACACGTGGAACAGATTGTATTGAAATATATTATCATGTACAATATGTATGTGTTTACACGGGGATATACCCCATTCCAGTTGGTGACGTGCCGCACTCTGAAAAACCAAAATTCACAAGATCGAAAATGCTTAATCCATTTTTTTAAAATTTAAAATAAAAAATTAATGTGAGTGAATAAGAAAATGACAAAATCGTAAATTTAAAAAAAAAACGAAAAAAATATGCCTCATTCAAAAACATTTAAAAAAAAAAAAACATGAAAACATAAATCATCATTTGCCACGTAATTTACAAATAAATGAAACACATAAATAACAAAAACAAGTGCTTCTATACCAATAAAAATAAAGAAAAAGAACTAATTCATGTAAAAAGAAAAAAACAAAGACAAAAACATAAATTTAAAAAAATAAAAAAAAAATTTACCAAAATACGCCAAATCCAAACCCAAAATAAAAAAATTAAAACAAAAAAAAAAAACAATGAAAGCAAAAAACGCCAAATCCACTTCCAAAATAAAAAAAAAAGTTTGAAAAATACACCAAATCCAAACCCAAAAAAAAAATAAAAATAAAAAAAGCAAAATACGGCAAATCGAAACCCAAAATAAAAAAAAATTAAAAAAAAAAATTAAGCAAAAAATGCCACATCCAAACCCAAAATTAAAATAAAGAAATAAATAAATAAATTAAGCAAAATATGGGAAATCCAGACCCAAAATAAAAAATAAAAACAAAAGCCAAAAAGGGCAGTTTGCTAATTTAACAGGATGACACCTCACCAAAAAGCCAAAAAGTCAAAAAAGCCAAAAAGTCCTTTCCAAACCAGGCTTTTGAGCCCCAGGCTCATATAGCCAAAAAAGCCAAAAAGCCAACCCACTTCTCAAACGGAGGCTGCATCTTTCAAAGTGAATTGAATAGCCTTCCACCGCCTCCGTTTTGAAAAATTATTAGTGTCACGTGATCATATCCTTCACTAATTATAATTCATCATATTCTTTTACATTTTTTAGGGTAAATTACACTTTACCTTCTTAAAGTTTTACCTATTTTTCACTTTGGCCCTTTAAGTTTGATTTTTCTTACTTTGACCCTTCATGTTTACAATCCTTCCCACTTTGGCCCTTTATGTTTGCATTCCTTTCCATTTTAGCCTTTTAAGTTTGATTTTTCCACTTTGGTCCTTCATGTTTGCAACCCTTCCCACTTCACTCCTAGACTAACTTACATCCAAAAAACTAGCATAATTCTTTACATCACCAACACATCAGCTCTATATGTGATGCAAAAAATTAACTAAAGATGCAAAAAATAAAAAATAAAAAACAAAAAAGTTGAATTTTTTTTTACTCTTTAGTGAACTTTTTTTTTTTCAAATTTATTCATAAACATTATTACATTATAGTTGCATCTAGATTAGATGTAGCTAAAAAAATAACACTACAACAAAAAACACTATTGGCGACTAAAATGGGAATTTTCGTCGTTGAAAGTCGTAGAATTGGTGACTAAAATGGAATTAGTCGCCAAAATTGGTCACTTTTGCCGACTAAAAGAGTTTAGTCGCCGAATGCAATGGTTTTAGCGACTAAAAGGCAGTTTAGTCGCCAAATATAGGGGTTTTAGCGACCAAAAAATTTTTAGTAGCCAAAGGTTAGGGTTTTTGGCGACTAAAACCATTTGGTAGCCAAACGTTAAGGTTTTGGCGACTAAAAACCACTTTGGTCGCTGATTGTACCTGTTTTGGCGACTAAAAACAGTTTGGTCGCTGAAGGTCAAGCTTTTTGGCTACTAAAAAAAAATTAGTAGCTAAAAACAGGTCTATGGCGACTAAAATTCACTTTAGTAGCCAAAGGGGGAGGTTTTTGGCGACTAAAAACAGGTTTAGTCGCCAAAAGGGTAGGTTTTTAGGCGGAATAGTTTTCTTTAGCGACGGAAAATTAATTAGTAGCCTAAAAATAATAGAATTGGCGACTAAATAATTTTTTTAGTTGCCAAAAGTGATCTAAATTTTTTTTAATAAATAATTTATTTTTTACATAAATTATATTGAATATATATAATTACATTTATATATATAGTTTTGTATTAATACTGGTGAAAGTAATATATAAATAATATAAGTTGCAACTATAGTCATGAGATGGTCCAGTGGCATAGTGGGGTGGAGTGTGTGGTTAAGGTTTGAAATCACCTGGAGGTCCCAGGTTCGAAACGTGGGAGGTCTGAGGCACAAAGGGAATTTTTTTTTTAAAAAAAAATGCTTTTGGCGACTAAACACTGTGGTCGCCAAAAGATTGAGCATTGCCGACGAAAAAAATAGTCGCCAAATGTATAAATAATAAAAAAATTAATTCACTATTGGCGACTAATAGTTTAGTCGCCAAAGGTATAATTTCCAAAAATGGAATTGACTATTGGCGACTAAAACCTTAGTCGCTGAAGACCTGTGTATTGCCGACTAAAAGTTTTTTAGTCGCCAAAGGTATTGGCGACTGTCTCTTCGCGACAAACCTGGCGACTAAAAGATTTTGTCGGGGAAAGTAGAAATTTGACATTTGGCGACTAAAAAGGGACTTTTGGCGACTAAAAATTTAGTCGCCAAAGGTGTATTTTCTTGTAGTGTAAAAAGAAAATTAACTACAAGAAAAAAGTTAACTAAAGACGAAAAAAAAACGATAGTAAACTTTTCATTTCAGAATTAACAATATAGGTGTTTGAGTCAATATATTTTCATTTTTTTTTCGTCTTTAGTAAACTTTTTTCTTTTTGGTTAAATTTGTTTTTAGTTTTTTAGCTGCATCTAATCTAGATGCATCTATAATGTAATAATGTTTATAAATAAATTCGGAAAAAAAAAGT